AATGTGTGTTTCTATATCAGGCTTAAAATTTTTTCCTCCCCCTGTACATGTAGCGACATACCGTAGATTATATGTGCGACGCACACAGCTCTGGCTCTGTGCAGTTGCGTTAAATATCCAGATATTTTAAAATATCTCGGATGGATATCCATCCGAAATACATAGACTGGTGTTAGTCAGCTGTCATGTGTGCATATGAAATTATATCCATTTGATTACATGTCAAGTGCTACCAATATAAAATTTCATATAATCGCTGACTCACAAAGTCCCGTCCTCCTTTGTTGGGAATTTATCCGACTTGGTTCGAAAACTCAAAAGCCAATGCCATAAGCTTTATTTTGGTCTTGCTGCTTTATTTCTTCTCTGAACTCATTTCATAATTTACTGTTTTCAATCTGAATTTCTAACTTTGGCAACAAATTCAAATTTTCAATCGCCGCACAAATAGTATATAATTTGCTCGAAGGCTATAATATGATTGATTTTTGATTTATGTTAGCTTTGTATATTTTATGATCCTTCTATGTACCATTTCTGTTTTTAACAAGATTTCAAATTAAATTATTATTAAAATAATTTTCTCTCATATGTTAATTGAACTCATCCACGTCGGCGGCGAAAATTTGAGTTCATCGAGTTCACGGTCCAATTTCAAATTCACAATGCCATACACTAAAAAGCCATTATCATATACTTCAATCATACTTATGGTATTGTTTGCATTTTTTACGCGATGGCATGTTGTTTTAATACATCCACATTAAATCCTTCACGTGTAGTCCTTATTCCTCTATGAAATTTACACAACATCTTCTAATTAGGCTATTGTGTAGCGGCATTTTAACGGTGTTCCGTAAATACTTGTGCCACACCTTGGCCTACGCCCAGTTTGTTTTTTTTTTTCAAACATTTAATACTTGTTCAACAACATCCCTCCCGTAAATGTGTAATAACTAAAGTCACAACTAATAAATTATAACAAATACTTTGCGATACAAAATTTGTAAGGTACGTTGTTTTCATAGATTGTACTAAGATTTTAATCACCGCATAAATTTTTAAAATTCAAATACACTCACCTGAGCCACCTTTTCGCCCATATTTGGTGTATGTCGGGTGCCTTGGAAAAATTTTCCTGATCCGTTGTCCTGTTATGACAAAAAAATAAAAAAAATAAAGTAGTGTAACTGTTCACATAATGAAAAGATAAATACACGAATTACTTTAACTCGGTACTCGGAAGGCACGTTTGAAAGTGTTGAGCTGCCATGTTGATCGCTGCTAACATTCGTTGAATTTTGTCGGAACGATATTGCTTTGTATCGTTGTAGATCACTTTCTGATGACACGTATGGAAAGTATTGACGAGCTACATGACCACTTTTTCCTGTCGGTTAGAAACAGAAGATTCAGCGCACGCAGCACACCATCATGAATATGACACAGAAAAACCCAATTATTTAGAATGCACTTTAATTAAATATGATATTAAGAAAACGGTAAAGTGCAGAACATTTTCTTTGGAAATAACAACTTTCTAATAACACTAATATCAACGAGGATGTTTCGAATTATGAATGAATATGATAATCAAATCCTCAATACTGAAACATTAAATTCAAACATTTGAATCTATTGCTCGAGAAATTACAAACAAAATGAATTACTTTTACATAATTGAACATTACATGTACATTTTTATACAATACATTCGGACTGTTTTTACTGGATCAAAATTAAAATTTACACAGCATATCGTGCAAAGAGATATAAAAAAAGAGCGTGTACATGACATTTTCGGATGGTAGGTAATTTTTGGGTTGCGATTAAGAGTATATGAAATATGATTTATATTTGCATTATGTTTCAGTTGGTAGAGCTATTTTATATCCATATAAGTATATTTGGATAATAACCGTAGACCGATATTGAGAAAACCGACGAAATCACGTGTATCCTTTTTTCCGGAACGTCGTCAATATTTTATGTTTTCTTTTCGCAATAACAATAAAATTTAAAAACAAATGAAGCTGCTTCTCACCCAATCATTTCATTAAATTTCCTTATTGCCTTGTGACATGGGTAGTATAATTTTATAAAGTGATTGCCAATTATTTACAAGCATGTTTGCATTATTTTAACACGAAAATAGTAATAAAATTTGTTAATCGAATTTCAAATTCATTCGCGAACATTAAATCATATTTGAAGAACTTTACAATTTTTCGCCGTTTTTTGAAACATTTCTATGAATCTGTTTTATTTCATATATATTTTTTATCGCAATAGATCTAAGCTCAATTTCTCCAACCGCAGCGGTTATAAAGGCAAACAATTGAAAAAAAGGGAAAAAATCTAAATTGAACAAAACACATGCGAGATTGATGTAAATAACTTATCAGTCTTTTGACAAAACAGAATTTGCAAGCGTATTTTTTCCAAATGATTTTGTCTTCGACTTGATTTCATGTGTAAATGTTAGTAGAATTTAAAAATGAATAAACATTAACAGAAATGGTTGCTGAACTTATGACTTGTTTGTTTATAGTATTGAAAAAAAAACTTTTTCAACATTTTTGAAGCAAAACTGATGGTCTGGAAAACGTTTGCGTAAATATTTGAAATGCTCTGCATGTATATGAAAGTAGTGTGAATTTAGCTGCGGCAAGCAATACTAGCAAATGTGAATGAATCGCAATGGTTTCAATTAGTTGTACCTCCATTTACACGATTGCAACAAGCAACATTTACATCCTGTGTCTACATAAATCTTAGTAAATACATTTCTTGCAAATAGCAAAACAATGTACATTTGTACAGACTTGTTGCATGCAATTTACATACATGAACCATTCCCAGTAAATGTGTATGCAAAAGAAGTTTCAATGCCGTCACTATCTTGAAAGATATTTAAAACTATTGTTGAATGCAATGCAGTGAAAAGTTTAACACCTTATAAACGCGTTTTTCGCCAAATGATCGATCTTTCAACCACCACTTAAACGAATTTTTACTGACTTGAAGAAAAAAAAACGAATTTCTCCCAGTCCAACCGAATGAACTGAATTTTTCACATGTACTTTCAAATGCCATTCATAGCTTAGCGAAAATTAAAACGACAACCCATTCTGCATTGGAATATTTGCACATAACAACAATAACATATGTAAAGTCGTGCATTTAGTGTGTTTACTATACCCGGTTTTTGGCAGTTGATTCGTCCGTGTCATTCTTAGTTAGAAAACGATTAAACTTTGTAAAACTCATTATGTGTGCACATATTTGCTTTGAGTAGCAAACTTCGGAATTGATTTATGTGGCGAAAAACGGATTAAAATTAAAACAAATCTAAATCGATGGTAAAAATGCATATACATTTTTAATGGGATTGGGCACTGAAGTGCAAAGATTCTGATTAGATTCCAACATAAACCCTTCAACTAATTTTATGACAATTTTTTATATCAAATTCTATTGGAATTCACTTTATGTGTTGTATATTTTATAGCATGTTTTCCCTTTTTAAAAGTTCGTGTTGAAAAAAAAAATCGTCGAAAGAAGAAGATAAGAGAAAAATTTACTGAAGAATAAAATATTTGTTGCATATCCCAATTAATTTCATACGATTATAAATGCGAGTCTCAATAAATGATAATCAATGTTTTTTTTTTTAAGTGGCGACTTTGATAATTGATACAAATGAGAATGTACAATGGATTCGAATTGGTTCAATGAACATGGGCATGGGTGTGGGCATAGGCATAATATAGTAAGAAAATATTGGAACGATTTCATTCATTATTAATATAAAATGAGATAAGATCTGAATAAATGGATATAATGAATAAAAAATTGGGCCAGAGATGAAGAAAATTTGGAAGCAGAATCAATACCTAGCAGAGCTTTATAAATCTAATGCAATTTAAAATTCGTTAGGAAAATGTCATAATGGTGCATCAAATGTCAGTCTAATTACTCTTTGGTCCCGACGAGCCCTGCCTTTTAGCTCACATCAAAGCCCATTTAGAGTGAGCCATTGAAAGTATAGAGTTCGTCATTTGAGTCAACAAGTAATCTGGCTGACACTTGATCCACACGGTTACCTTCCATAAAATCATCAAGTGTATGAGCACGCTTTTGAATAAGACCGCGACAATTTTTCGCTTTCGATGTTGTGGCCGCTTGAGTTGTGGTCGTTGTGGTTGTTGGCGCAGTTGTGGTACGAAAGTTGTTCAAATGACTGATCGATTTGTTTGTATCGATTTCCATTCGACTATTTGCTTGTGATTCAATCAATGCTTGTTCATCGTCCGAATTAACTGAATATTTTGATTATTATTAAACCAATAAGCAGTCTCAGCATGCCGGCCAATGAGCGATAATATTACATTCAATGCAATATTAAATAAACAACAAGGACAAACAAGTATCGGAACACAGTAGTCGACCCGAATTTGGATGGCGGATAAAAAAAAAGACGCCAACAGATCAAACAAGAGAAGACAAAGAAAAAAAAATGAAACAGAAACAAAAATTGAAACAAAGATTTACATTTGTAAAGATCTGAGATGGTAAGTAAGTTTATTGGACATAGTTAAAAGTGCATGGCTTTGGAAATATCCAAAATTGAACAAATTGCCAAACTGTTTAGACCATGCGGACTCATTTTAAAAATTTAAACTAATATTATATCAATATGATGAAATGGAGTTATTTTATTTAAAAAAATTGGTGTAAAGGAGTGATCGACACTTGAAGATGACCATTTATTCATGTGTATATATTCAACTAGAAAAAGAAAATTGTTTTAGAGATTATTGCCGAGGTTTAGCCCGAAACGCATAGAAATATCAACGAAGTTTGGCGAAATACTAGGAAATTCTGTTGCGAGACGAAAGCATTGACTTCTTTCTACTTCATTTGGATTTCAAAAATTTCGTGTGCCTGTCGATCAGATGAAATTATTTCGATTTATTTTAAATTTCAAACAAAAATAAATATTGAAATGGTCAAGTTAATCAAAACTTCAACAAAATTTGAAAAATAAAAGTCAGTTTAACATCTTTTGACTTTCATTTTTGAAAAGAATTTTTTTGAATCTATTTCTTAAGTGTATTATTTATCTTTAATTTAACCCAAACCAATTTTATTTTGATTGAATGACAAAGCTACGATACCTTGTATATGAAAATCGTAAAACTGTTCCATTCAATTTAAAGAGTTACACCCTGTTAATTATATCAACACGCCGCGATAAATTCTAAGCAGTGAAGTGAACCAAAAACAAACCATTTCATTGGTTTTACTTACCGAACGAACCGGAGCAATCGGAACGTTCCAACAATGGTTTACACTGTACACACGACCGTACAATGGCTGTGTGTGTATTAGTGTGCATTGCTATTCACGTACACATACGTCGTCATACAAACCATTCTCGGAACGTTCCGCTTGCTCCGTTTCGTTCACACAAAACGAAACCAATTCCGAGATACCGCTCCGAAATCGGTTTGTATGAGAAATGTCAAACCGGTTCACTTCACTGATTCTAAGTATGTGTACTGTATATTGGTAACCAACGTCGACGAAAGAGGTAAATAATTTGTACTAATTTTCAGAGCTTGCCTTACGCTGATGAGACTATCTCCTGATAATAGAAGCTGAGAATAGCAGATATTTTGTATGCGATATACGTCTACTGTGTACTCAGCCAGCGTAAGACACGTTTTAATGATTTTAGAAAAATTTCAAATAATAAATGGTAAAGTATAGTTGCAAAAGTGTTTGAAAAGGTAATGTAGAGCGTATTCGCCGTAATTTATAACAAGATTCTTACCGCTCGCGAAAAAGGTCTAAATATTTTGGTAAAGTCTGAATTTCAATTAAAAAAAATTTAAAAAACTGTAGAAATGTTTATGTGTGGATCAAAACAATTAAAAACCCATGCATCGCCATATTGGACATTAGTTTTTGTAATTTTTTTTTATTGAACAAATAAAGAAATCCGAAAATTTTCCATCTAAGCTATTGACGATTAACGCATAGTTTATACATATGCAACATGTTGTACATATCGTGCACTTATAACAAATCAGTAGCTAATATTTTTCGGACTTCGCTCGGTATTTTTTTTTTCAAGGACAAGAAACATAATGAAAAAAAGGGGTTTGTTTTTCATGAAGGGAAATTCTCAGCATGTAATCATGAAATTATTCAGTCATAAAGAAAATACGTTGTTGAATACGTAATAAAAGTGCATAGCAACGCATAAATATGGCACAAAAAAGTAATGTACTCTAACAAACACCAAACATAAATTGTTTTGACAACATAAACAGTGACAATAGCAACGACAGCAAGCAACACGAAAAAACACATAGAAAACCAAACAAAATTCAGAAAAAAAAAAAAACACTTAAGAAAAAGCACGATTTTTCATTTAGATAGAGAAAGAGAGATAGAGATATCAATAAACAAACAATAATGCACACAAAAACATATGAATTAAAGGCGATTGTTATTCGCTCACTTCTCTGTAAAGCAGCATACATTTTCGAGTAAGAATTGATTGTTTGCAGTTAGATTCATTATTAGTGTCAAATGCTTTTATTAATTAGGCTGGTTGTTTACTCGACTAAACTTTTTTTTAACAATGAAAGCACATTTTGGTGATAAACCAATTCAAATGCTCCAACCATCGCAAAATGGCGCTTCAATCGCCTGTTGTTCTCATTGAAGAGTGGCAGTACACAATTTCTTTGTTAATTTTTTTGGTTTTTAACTTTTTTTTGTTTTCAATTTAACGCTTTCGTTTTGCTTCGCTTACAATAAGACGAATCATGTAAACAGTCAGTAACGGTGGTGTTAGTATGCAAACGTGTATTTCTAATTGAGGCGAATTAATACTCACGTTTTGATTGTGCATCGAAATCAAGGCTTTTTGTTTGTGAAAACTCAGATTTTTTCTTCACAGTTAGTGGTGCTTTCTACGACATTGGAATAAATTATTTATTAATTTTAATTGCTTTTTTGGACTCCCGCGTACTCCACAAAACAAACATGAGAAAAATTGAATTGGTCATTGATGCGATTACCTTTGGAGTTGCTATTTTTAAATCATCCAAACGCAATGAGTCTCGAATCAATTCTTGTTCCGCTGATCGCATTACAGTTGTCATTGTAGCCGCCGTTGAAGGGACGAGTGTTGATGGTGACCAAACTTTACCCGACTCAATTTTTTCCAATGTCGGCACCATTCGACTGCTGGAAGAGATTCCATTGAAATCAAATTGGGCATGAATAATCGGTGACAAATTATCAAATTACCTCTCAGCATTATCGTCATCATCCTGTGTTAAATCTGATGGGGGTGTTAGATATCCGGCCAAACGCAGGCCACGATCTCGTAATCCCATACTACCGAATTTCGTTTTAAAACTAGCACGAGCTCTATCAACTGCACAACAATGGTTTGTGTGAACGATTATCAAATGTTTTAATGTAATTTCAAGAAAAAAAAATCACTTACATTTACTCAGTCTCGGAGGAGCTAAGGGTTGTTCAGCGGCTAATGGATTGGATAAGTCTTCAAAATTGATTATGTACAGTGAGATATCATCTACTTCCGAACGAATTGGTGCTATGACTTCAGAACAAAGGAACGTTGTTCCTGTATAAATAGAAAACAAATAAGACACATTTGCACAACACAAGTGGGTGTATGATTTACACTCTTACCATCTTTTCTATAGTACAAAATCTCGAAATGTTTTTCGAAACCTTTTGATAATGCTTCTTTGATTAAATTTACAGCCTGAAGTGATGTCATTGGTCCATGAAGGAATTCCGTGGTGCTCGATCGTTGCATTACCTCAGCACGCGTGAAACCAGTCATTTTGCAGAAACCATCCGAACAAAATATTATATGATACGTATCCGATTGCGCATTGGCCACCAAAAAACTTCTATCTGTAACGAAAGACAAACAAGTCAATGTGAAAACAACTTTTCTTTTTTCAATTCCGCAAATATGGGGGTCGATCTAGTCCCATTCGTATTTGTATGGAATTTTTGCGGCGTGTTCTTCATTTGCACCGAGAAATTGTGATATATTATTTCCATGTAATTGAACTAGTAATCATAGCTGGGCAGACTGAAAAATTCAGGGGTGGGAAGGGGAGGTATAATGAAAATTTCTTCTAATTTGTAAAGGGGTAATTTCAAACTTTTCAAAAATTATGGGGGTAAATATAGCTTTTAGTGTAAAAAAAGGAGTTTTTTATTCCATCCGGATCAAAATTTATGACCGAAAAGAAGAATTGTCCTTCAAAATCCCTTGTAAATTGGACGATTTTTCTCGTTAAAAACTCTACCAAATCTAAAGAATTTTATTCCTAAAAACCCTAGCAAATCAAAAGAATTTTCCCAAAAGTCCATTCTGTCTAGTACAAACACCTTCTCGGAAAGAGTAAATTCATAAAGGGGTAATTGAAATTTCGTCTAATTTTTAAAGGGGTATTGCCAAAATTTGATGCCTCAGAGGGGGTAATTCCCTCCCTCCACCCCCTGTCTGCCCAGCTATGCTAGTAATTGAATATTGGACGTACAGGGGGAGGAAAAAATTTTAAGCCTGATATAGAAACACACATT